TCCGCAGGACTTGCTGGTGGATTTGAACTGCCAAAGCAGTTTGCTATGGATTATGTAGCTCTAACTCCTAAATAGATTATTGTAGATAAATGGTACACAGTAAGAAGTGACTTCCATGTATGCTCTTCCCTACCCTCTAATCCCTGTGACTGTCTCAGTAAATGTTTTCCCCATCTCAACCTAACATTCCCTATAGCATCCCCACGTACCAACCAGACCCTGCTTTCCAGAGACTATCTCTACATATTCAAGGAACGTGTTTCTGTGCCATGCCCTCAGAGTCCTGAACTGTACCTGGGCAAGCTAAAACAATAATCTGGAAGTGCTTTGAAAGTTGTTGCTCCTTTCTTCTCCTCCTTTTTAATTGTTCAAGGTAACGAAAAATCTATTATAACAGCCTCTTTTAATCGACAATTAGATTGTTTCTAATTTCATGCTACTAACAATGTTTATGAGCTCTGGTAGCCTCGTGGTAAAGAACTGCACTACAATCCCAAAGGCATGTGGTTCAAATCCACCAGCTGCTCTGTAGGAGAAGGATAAGCAATCTCTTCCTGTATGATTAACTGTCTCTGAAAACCAGCTGGAGGGTCAGCTATGGGTCAGTTCCGACTCGACAGCACGCAATAACAACAACAACAACAACAACGTTTATACATATATTTCACACATGTATGAATAAGTATTTCTTTGTCATAAATTTCTTCTTGGAAATTACCTGCATGTGCCAATATACTCAAGGCACAGGTATAAGACCACCAACTCAGAGTTGAAGGTCTTGCATCACTTCTCAAATCTTTTTTCAACCTTCAACAGCAGATGGGAGCTCTGGTGGCCTAGTGGAAAGAAGCTGCATGGCCAAACAAAAGACACACAGTTTGAATCCACCAGCTACTCCCCAGGAAAAAGGTAGGCAAGCTCTTCTTCTGTGTTTTGCAGCCTCTGAAAACTAGAGGGACTGTTATAAGTAGGTTCCAGCTTAATGGTACTTATTAACATCACCCAGCACCAACAAGGGCAATGCTGCCACCTCCATGTAGGGTACTAAGGGGTTGCAGTCAGTGAAATCATAACTTAAGGCTAGCTGCTCCCATTCATTCACTCTTCCCACGAAGCTTCTACCGAGTGAAGCAATGAATGAGTTCTTACACCACAATCTACTCCCTGGGCTCATTTCAAGCTGTCCCAAGTTATAACGACAGCCCAGCTAGCTTCGTGGAAGGCACTTCTCAGGTGATGTGTGGAGTTGAGCTGGACTTTGAATAGTCCATGAGTCTATTAGGGTTGGGAGACCCTTTTTGTTGTTATGTGCCTTCGAGTCGTTTGTGACTCACAGCGACCCTATGTACAAGAGCTCTAAATGCCGTTCTAGCATGTGCCAACCTAGCCATCTCAAATGCACTTATTCCCACCACTCCACTCACAGAATAGATCCATCTCATTGAAGGTCTTACTCTTCTTCGCCACCCCTCCACTCTGCCAAACATGATGGTCCTCTCCAAGGACTATTACTTCCTTGCAACATGCCCAAAGTATGTCAGATGAAGCTTCAGAATCCTTGATTCCAAGGAGCATTCCGGCTTCACCTTCACTAGGACAAACCTGTTTGTTCTCCTAGCAGTCCATGGTATATTCAACA